AAAAAAAACGCTTCGATGCAAATCTTTAGATAGTGTTTAATTTTAAAAAATTGGTGGATTATTCCAAAAGCTTCATAAACTGCTAGTTCCTTATTAATATCCTGATTAAGATAAAGTATGTCGAATGAAAAAAGAAATTATTTAAAAATAGTATTTCCTATAAAAAAATTATATTGATCAATACACTTTTCAATAAGTTATAGCATTATAAAGTTAGAAATGTAAAAAATAAAATTGAGAATTTTCACACAATAATAGCATTTGGTAGCCATTTTCACCGTGAAGACAAAATAAAGTCCGAAATTTTATTTTTACATAATAAAGTAGATTACATTAGCTTTAATTTAATATATATAGAAAAGTGTCAGACTTTCCGGAACACTTTCAAAATTTAAGTTGAAAAAGTCGTCATTTTGAATTCCCCCCTGTAGGGAGGTAAAAAGTCAGATTTATAAAAAAAATATACAAAATTATAGGTAAAGACATCATGCAAATACAAAAAAAAGATTTATATTGCTCCATACTATTTCAAAAAGTTATAGCATTATAAAGTTAAAAATATAAAAAAGAATTTTTTTACAAAAATCGTATTTTTATTATTAAGTTTAATGTCTGTTTTCACCATGAAGATAAAATAAAGTCCGAATTTTTTTTTTACCATTATAAAGTAGATTACATTAGCTTTAATTTAAGGTATATATAAAAGTGTCAGACCTTCCGGAACACATTCAAAAGTTGAAAAAATTAATTTTTTGTAAAAAAGTTGTCATTTTAAATCCCCCCTGTGGGTAGGTAAAAAGTCAGATTTATAAAAAAAATATACCAAATGATAGGTAAANAAATTTGTAATTTTTTGGGGGATTTCCCCCGTTTACGGGGAACGAGGGAATTTTTTTCAATTTTTGAGGGTAATGTCTTCGACTAGATACGATTTGTGATCTTTTGACATATTGTTCATCAAAATCGGTCCAGCGAGAGCTGAGATTGAGTGTTCACAGGCACAAAAAAAAAAAAATAAAATAAAAAAAAAACATATCATAGTAAAATTAACACCCTCTCAGCTTCGCATCGAAGCTAAAAATAACACATAGTATAATTAATACCTTTAAAATTAACGCCTAAACAAAAGTATTACTACACTTTAATTCAGTAAAAGTATGAAACAACAAATATAACATTTAATACGGTAATCACATTGACTATCGCTACTGACCGTCGCGCGAGTTCCAAAAAAAAAAACAATTAATTTAGCAGCCCGCTTATTTTGCAATATCACATTAGCACAAATGACAAATGTTCTACTTAATAGTAAAATAAATTACTACACTAAATTTAATTTTTGCTTTTAACAATTTTAATTTTCAATAATTAATAATGAATTTAAACTAATATTAGTAAATTATAAATATTTTTACATTATTAGTATAGAGAAGTTTCCGGGCAACAACATTTATTAATATTATGAGTATGACATCAAAATATAAATTAATAAAGAACTTTAAAAGTTAAAAAACTCATTCATTCATTGGTAAAATCAATCTATTATTAAAAAGTGGCGAAAATATTAAACTTTCGTGAAGAAATAGAATTATTGTAACTTTGTATGAGGTGCATACAATGTTTCTACAAGTTTTAGGGTAGTTTTTATCAACTCTTTATTAATTTTTTTAGAATATCAATAATAGTATTGTTAATAAATTTGATAAATGCTTCACTCCTATGTAAAAGCAAATATTGAGCTACATCAGTTATCCAACGTTATCTAGCGGAAAACTCAAGCCAATTGTTAACAGCTCAAAAAACACGATTAAGATAATATTATCACAGATTTAGATAATATTATTCTGTTAAAATTTATTTCCTATTTTTTTTAGTCTATTTTAAATCATATAATTATTTATTATATAAAATTATTTTATGATTAATAAAGCTAAATTTAATTAAATTATTTATTTAAATATACCTTGTATATTTATTGTAGTTATATTTATTGTAGTTATATTCTTTGTGTGTATTTTTCTAGTTAAACTACATTATTTTCAATCAGTTGTTCTCACTAGTTAGTTGAAAAAGCAATGGCTTGGCGATCTCATGGCAGAAATAATTTCGAACTTGTGCAAAATCTGAGAGGTATTTTCTCAAAAAAAATGACAGGATAAAATATCTAGTCATTATATTCATGATAATAATTTCTTAACAATTTTCTATAAAGAATTATAACTTAAACAAGATATTCCTGTTAAGAATATCATTATTTTTCATAAAAATATCAAGAATTTATTAGTTAGAGCCTCTTTTTATCTTTAATTCATTGTATGCTTATTTTAAATTAAAAAAAATGTATATAGGAATTGATTTTTTATAAAATTTTTCAAACATTAATTACAAATCATAATCTTTGTTTGGTCTAAGATTCATATAAAAATCAAATATCAAACATATTTACAAATCAACTATTTGAGATTATTGAATGTGAACTTGAACTTTTTTCCTTGTTTTAATTTTAATGATCTGCATATCATTTGATATATTAATTAATATCTTAATTATTAAAACATTATTGTAGGAATTTAACCATTATTTGAATGATATGTAGAATTATATTGAAGAATTTCTACAAATTTTATAATAATGTTCTTAAACTTAAGAATTTTACAAATTTATTAATTTTTTAAAAACTAAGCCCCATGTAAGTTTAACTTTTAAAAGTATTTTTTTATTTTTGTAGCTCTGAAAAGTAATATATTAATTACTTATTTTAAATTGAAATAACATTTATTTTTTATTATGTGTTCAATTATAAATAATCGTAATTAGACCATACAACAATAGATAATAATACTCAATTATTAACAATTAACACTTTAAACCTGATATTTCTATTAGGGTATGTATTTTTAATATATTTTAAATTTACATTAAAAATTGTTTGATTTATGAAATGTATTTTACACAACTACTATTTTGAAAATTTATAGTAAAAAATAGAATTATAATATTTTTTCATTATTTCAATAAAATTAATGAGGAATAAATTTATATGTACTTATACATTTTTTTTGAGCTATTTTCAAAGAACTATTTTAATTTTGTTTTAAGTAGATACAATATTAGTCCTCTCCACTTAAACTTTACTTCCATTTCAACATAATACTTGGTTCTTAAGCCTATATAAAATTTTCTGGTTAGTAGTTGATATATTCTGAATAACATTTTAAGAAAATATTTAGATTCATATTTTCTGTTAATAAAATTTAAAATTTTCTTTCACAAATATAATTTATCTCGGCAATATTGAATATATAAAATTGAAAAGCCTTTTAATAGCTATTTGATGTATTTTTATGTATACATAGTTAGTTAAATAAAAAAAAATTCATTTAAAAATAATATTTTATTAAATATATTTTTTAGCTAATAATGTTATTAAAAGTGATAAGGTTGAACGAGTTATGAAAGCTGTTGATCGTGGCCATTATACTTCTAAATCACCATATTTGGATCAACCTCAAGGAATTGGTTTTGGTGTCACAATCAGTGCACCTCATATGGTAAAATTATAGTGATTCTTATTATTTTTAATACTTTTTAATCTAAGGAGATTTCGTTTTGTAAACATTATGCTTTGACAATTACTTTATTTTTAAAAACAATTAAAATTTACAAAACAATTCTTTTAAATTAATTAAATATGAGTGTATATTTTTTTCTATTGTATTAAACAAAAAAAATTTTTTGGTAAGAAAAGTTTCATAATTTTCCAATTATGTAACTTATTATGAAAACTAATTTTTCATTATGAATTTGAACATTTTAATAATTTTCCTACCTATACACTAATATTTTTTGTCATCAAGAAATGATCATAGACTATCTAATATTTAATAAAAATATCTAATATTTTTAATGATTATTAAAAGTTTCAGTTAATATGTTCTTACTTAAGTTAGGATTATCTTTTTTAGCATGCTTATGCTCTAGAACTTTTGAAAGATCAACTCAAAGAAGGTGAACGAGCTTTAGATATTGGTTCAGGGTCTGGTTATTTAACTGCTTGTATGGCAGTCATGTTAGGAGAAAATGGAAAAGCAATTGGAATCGATCACATACCTGAACTTGTTGAAAAGTCTATAGAAAATATTGCAAATGATAATCCAGAGCTGTTAAATTCCCAAAGAGTAATACTAGAAAGTAATGATATACTACATGTCTATTTCTACTATATATTAGTAATAACTCTATTTTATTTTAAGAAATTTTTCTTTTTTTAACAGTTGGTGATGGACGGTTAGGATATGAAAAATTTGCTCCATACAATGCAATACATGTTGGCGCAGCAGCTGAATCAATTCCTCAATCAGTAAATATATTATTTTTAATAATACTTTTAAAGAAATCAACAAGTTAATGTTTAATATGACCAATATATCTTTTTAATATTTCTTAACACTTTGGGATCTTAAAATTTATTGTCATTGGAATTAGACAATTTAATTTGTATTAAAGTTAAATAATTGAAATAAAAATTAATGTTTATTTTAGTTAATTGATCAATTGAAACCCGGAGGTAGATTAGTATTACCGGTTGGACCAAGCAATGGTGATCAGGTATTAGAAGTAATTGATAAAAAATTAGATGGGTCACTGTCCAAAGAAAAACTCATGGGTGTTATCTATGTTCCTCTAACTGATGCAAAATCTCAAAGAAACAAGCAAAATTAAAAATAATTTAGTGTTATGATTATGACAAATTTTACATTACAAATTATTGATGAAAAAATATAATTTTAAGTAGCCTGACTTTGTAGTTTTGTTGCGTCACTAAATATATGTTAACAAAATTTTCAAATTATTCTTAGTTACAGTCAAATTACCATTATATATAATTATAATATTCTTAAATACAAAGTATTATTTTAATACTACTATATAACTTATTTTTTTTATCAACAAAAATAAACATAAACTAATAATGTATATTTTAGTATTTTATTGTTAGTGTTTTAATCAATGACGAATAAAAAATTTTAGAATAATTTAATGTACATAAAAAACTTATTAAAATGTAAACTAAAATGTTTTTTTTTTGCTCTAAAGTTGTTGAGTTTTATTTAAATAAATTAAATTAATGTTGTTTTAATCATAATTATTGAATTATTTATTTTTAATTTTATACAACTAATAAGTTTGAATAAGTTAAATTATTAAAATTTTTTTACTTAGTCTTTAAATTGTTATGATTTAAAATTAAATTGATAATTAATTTTTTCCTTTTTAAGACTCAATAAACATATTATATATTAAAATTTGTATCTACTCTGGGAGTGATTATTATTTTATTCTTAGTTTTTAATAATAAATTATAATTTTATTTTAATACTCATTTTTAGTGATATTATAAAGATGTTTATATATTGTTCATAATTTTTAAAATTTGTAGTAATCATAAGTATAAATTCATTGCTTAATAATTATTAATCATGAAAAATGAAGATAGTATCGAGTTCCTAATTCTTTTGTTCTATGTATTAATATATGTTAGTTAATAAATCTATACAAACATAATTTTTGATTCACAAATTGCTATGAACTAAGTGTTATGACATTAAATTAATACACTTATGTGATAAAGAAATATTTCATATGAATGACTTTTTAAATAATATTGAAATCAGCATATTTTTTTCATATAGTGCCTAATATTAAAATGCATAATCAATTATACTAAATATATTTTTCTATTTTAAAACTTACTAGTTATGAGGTACAGTTATATGATATATCTAATATCTAAGAACTTTTTACAAGAAAAAGTTATTATTACTATAAAGAGTGTAGTAGTTAGGAAATTTAGATTTTGTACGCCTCAAGGTGCATGGACTCAAATAAAGGCTTAACATTGAGACCAAAGACGACCTTAAAGGGCGCTGGTATTGGCTTTACCGTCTAAGAATAACATGTGCGCACACCTTGTTCCACGTCGGACGAACCGAGATGATTCAATAAGCAGTGGACATTCTTATCTTAGACGTGACTCGACCAATCTACGACTAGACATGTCGTGAGATCGCACAGTCATGTGCCTACCGGTTGGGTTGGTGTGAGAGTTTCCGCATCTAATTAATGAAGTAATTAGGCCAGAATCAATCTCACCTATGGTATGAAGGGATTATGAATTTCTAAATACATTTTTTGTCTGCTAGCAATAAGTAGCTGAATAATATTTGGTGTTATCAAACATAGACTTTTGTCGATTATTTATTAAAAAGTAACTGGTTGATAATAATATATTACGATTTAATAATAATGACTACCATCAGTAGGACAACATTAAAATAATTGTAAAAATCTATTTGATAACCATACCGAAACATAAAAAAGTGTTTATTGGTAACGTGTAAACGATATCTGACAACCTAAATTTATTTTTTATTTTTTACTTATAAATTAAATTAGACCACTAGATTTCTCTGCTTGTAACTACGGGAATCTTTATTTTATTTTGACCTGGCTATCAATTACTTTTCCTAAAATATCAAGGAATTATTAGAAAAATTACACTAAATGTAATTTATTTTAATTATAATTAAATATAGCTGGCTTAAGATAATACATTCTTATACTGAACACGCTGTAATAATACTTTTCAGTTATGATAATTTAATGAATGTCATTATAACAAAAATTATTAGTTTTTTATTACTTTTGAAATTTAATTTTCTAATACTTATATTTATTAATGATATTTTCGTTGTTTTTTAAATTAATTACGATAAATGATCATTAAATTCAGATTTTTTTTATAGACATTTGATAATAAATATTTGAAGAGCTTGAATGTAACTACTTAATATAATTTAAAAACTACGTATTATGTCATTTGTGTTATTACAGAAAGATTGAATTTGGGTGCCTTAATATCTTTATTGACTATGTAGCTTTTGTAGTATTTTGAAACGGAAAAAATAAAATAATTCTTTGGCCATAAATAATACAGTTCTTGTAAATATACTAATAAATAATCTTATTTTTAGACAGAATAAATAACAATTAAATAAATTTAGAGAATTTATTTTTAAAAGTCTATTGATATAATTAAGTGCATTTTTATAATGCAAATAAAATTATAAATCAAAAAATGATACACATAAATGAAATAAAATCTCAAAGATTTAAAAAGAAAAAATCAATTTCTTATTTTTTGTCTGTCAAAAATACTTTCGTTGAACATTTGTACAATTTATTAATCACATTAATAGAAAAATAAATTAAAGCTATTAAAATGTTTTTTTTGTAAAATAATTTTACTATACGAGGGAAATTTTTATAATTTTCTTTAAATAATTGTATGCAATTATTTGTAATGTATAAACTTAATACAAATAATTTACAGTATAATATGAATTTTTCAAAAGTGTGATGTATATATAATTAGAAATGGCACCTGAAAAAAAAATTTTCTTACACTTCTAAGTGTAAAAATCAGAGCACAGTGGAGTCAGGAAGTAATAATAGAAGTTTATGATCTAGACAAAATATCTATAATAAAAACGGTAGCACAATGGGGTCACGGTACAGTAGGAATGTGGCATAGTTGGGACATGTATAGATGATATCAGATAGTGATTAAAATCACTATCAGAAGTTATAAGAAACGCTTCGATGCAAATTTGTAGATAGTGTCTAATTTGAAGAAATTGGTAGATAATTCCAAAAGTAATAATAACTCCCATTTTCTTAATTATATGACAAATAAAAGAAAATATCTAAGGTTTTAATAAAAAAAAATTGTGTTGATTTGTTAATTTTTGAAAAAGTTATGGAAGTTATAATTGTAAAAATGACGAAATTTACCGATTATGAAGATTTTCCCCATTTACGGAGAACGACGGAAATTTTTTATTCTATAGAAACGCTTTGTTGCAAATCTGTAGGTAGTGTTTGATTTAAAAAAATTGGTAGATTATACCAAAAGCATTATTTTTTTAACATTCCAGAATTTATTACTACTCTTTTTTTCTTTAACGTTCTCTTTGAAAAGTTATGCTTTTGTTAAAAAGGATAGAAAAAAACTGTATAGCGATGCGCAACAGAATCCAACCTCTACGCACTTAGGCACGACGTGTTGCTGACTGAGCTGAGTATAATAATATATGAAAAGTAGTCGAAACTTTAATTGTCCATAATGTAAAATTTAACTATTTTGTTGCTATGCGCTACTATTATGCTATTGAAATAAAACGAAAGACTTAATATTAAATAAATAAAAACGTAATAATGAAAGAAATTATTTTTTTTTTTTATACAATAGAACAATTTTTTCAGGGTAAATATTAAATTTGTTGGTGAAATGAAATAATTTATAGAAGGGTTTTATTTCCTTCACACTATATTCGTGTTTGATGTGTTCATGCAAATTATACGTGTACGCACATTAACGTTAGGTATTTTTAGCAAATATTGCATGAACAGAGCACAATTGGTTCTATTTAGTTAATAATTCAAAAATACATTATGTTGGTATGAATTTATAATTTAAGCTTTATAGCTTGTGCAATCTTTATCTTGTATGTTGTAAAATTGATTTATATAGTTTCATTATAATTTTAATGTTCTATGATATTACAAAAGATTTCCAAACATCCTAATCAAATAATATACTTCACCATTTTTCATCATTATGCTTATAATAAGCGAAAAATGCAAACATATGAACAAATACAGATTCAATACATGTTTTAAGCGTGAAAAATAATTTTGGGTTGTGTTGAGAATAGATAATCAAAAATTTATCTAGAACTGATAAATGTATTTGATATTAAAATTATCTAAGTGATAGATAAAATAATTTGTCTTTTATTTAGATAAAAAGTAGAAAAATGTATTAATAATTTTCTCATCGTTATTCCTTCCTTCCAAATGAATTTCTAATTTGTTGTCGAAAATGCAGTGAACATTTTCCTTCCTAATATACGTTACTAAAACATTTTTAATCTTCACTATTATCAAAAAAAAAATGTTTTGAAAATTAACAAATAATACATTCTATTTATTAAAGTTATATAGAAAATGTTACCCTATTTGTATCTACCTAGTGTTTTCATTAAATGATTATCTCATAAAAGTGTAGAGAGTTATATTTGATTTATTTTTTTAATGTTAAATGGCGATTAATTTTAATTAACTTTTGACTCGTCAATAACCAGATTTATTACATTACTTTTTTAGTTAATATAATTTTTGTTATAGACGAGTACTGCTGAACATCTCATTACTCGTAGATATATAAAATATTTATATAACAAAAAATCTATCTTAGAGGACATTTCGATAACTATTTATTAAGTCATCTAGCTAAGATAAGAGATAATATTATTTTTATTTAAAATATGATAAAAATGATTGAACATGATAAAATATGATTGATTATTTAGATTTGGTTGATTAACATATTACCTATTTGACTAGTTGCAATTCAGAATATAATTCAGTGGCCCTTGCTTTTGTATTCAATAACATATTAAAAAAGAATTTATATTCTTGGCTCTTTAACTTATAAATCGTACAATTTTAAATCGAGAAAAACACTTAATTGCATACATACTTGTTCTTATTGTTTTTTGACAGTTGTCCAATTTTGTCGATGTTGTGGCCAAAACAAATATTATTTTTTAGAGAAAACTTGATTGTTGAGTTAGAAGAGGCTCAAATTTTTTTTGAATATCTTGTAATTATCTTTAGTATGAAGCGTTTGTGTTTACTATTTGGCACCTCAATAACAAACACTTAGAATTTTACCATGACTAGCACTTTGATTGTTAACATATAAAATACATACTCACGTATTCATTTATTGATTAAACTACTTATTTAGGTTAGTTGTCTGATGTAATATCAAAAAATTACACAAAGCGAATTTTAGATGTTAAGATACTATTTAAAAAGTTTAGTCATAACCTCGTACTTAATGTTTTAAATGAAGGAAATAATATGAAAAAGATCAATAATAGCTTAAAATATTAGCGAGGACTTATATCATATTTTGTTTCTTGCAATCATTATATGTATAAAATACTTAGATAATTTTAAATATCCTATTACCATTGGTAAGATTTATTTATAAACAATTTTAAAACTAATTGTCAAAACTGAATTTTTTTTCAACAATTGTAACAATTTTGTTGGCATTAAGAAAAATAATTATAGTTATTACTACAGTGAAAAGCCAATAAATTTTAAAAACAAACAAATTATTTTCTGACTAATGGTTGATTAAGAGTTGTTATGATGGATGTATAAAATCAGTAAAGTATAAAGTAAAATCGCAATAAAGTATCATTTAAACATTATTCATTTCTCGTGTATTTAGAAAATTTCTGTACATAAAACAAACAAATAGGTTTTTTGAGGACAAAATTCAATTATTTTTTGTTCCAAATGATATACGTCCAGATCTGTTACATAAATTACAAGCCTGATGAAACAACTTAAATTTTATAATTTCATTATAAATAAACTCAAATATAAGATTATAACAATCAATATTTTTACCAAAAAATGTTCTATATCATATAAACAATTTTGTATTACTTTAGAATTTACTTAATTACTTTACTTTTATCTAGAAATAACAGAAAAAAGAAAAATTTAGAAATATATATATAATTAACCTTAAATTTTACTAATGTACTAAGTTAAATTACAAATTATAGTTTTATACGGCGATTCGCTAATTCTTTAGTATTTTGAATTCGTTTCATGTACGCATATTGTTTCCAGTTAACAACTTAGTAAAGTCTTCTGAAGAGGTCAAATATCAAATGACCAAGGACCTGCTTTAAATTTAACATTGAATGCATAATGCAATATTATTACTACTACTATTATATTTACTACGACGTCACATCGCTATGTCGTGCGTAAACAGTACCGTACCATTGAGATATAATTGCAAAATCCCTCCGTTGACCATCAAGGACCGTCGAGTGAATACTAATAAAAAAGATGGTGAAAAAAGAGAAAAAAAACATTTCACCTAAGTTCAGAGGAGATGGAAATCATTATGATTCGATTGTTTACTGTTACATTTTGGCATCGAAGCTTGTATGAAGTAACTAGGACACACACTGGAAATTGTATGTTGAATAACAATTGGGCAGTACACGGCCAAATTTGATCATATAAATAGACAGGACAAACTTATGTTCATCAATAGTCTATTGCTTAGTTTCCAAGACAACTTCTAGCTCCATAAGTTTTTAAACTACATTTGCAAAATCAATCCAAGTCCAAAATGAAATTCCAGGTAAAAAGTAATGTTTGATACGTAGTTTATTTTTAAGGAAAATTTATTTATCCCAAACACTATGTATGTTTCATTTAATATTTATTTTTTTTAAATATCGTGCACTATTTAATAATATTGTTTCATCAATTGTATTGATTTATTTTATAACAATAAATTTAAATACATCAATACTAAAATATAAATTTCTTTTACAAGTAAAATACATTTAAAATTTAAAATAAAACAAAATTATTCATAAAAACTTTCAAATTTATTTAATTTATTTTATATAATTAGGGTAATTTATTAACTATTGAATATTTAAATTTAAGAGCATAAAATTTTAACATAATTACAAATATATATCGATAAACCTAATTTGTTATTCCTTACTTATTGAAATTTATTTTAGGGATCTGTAGCTCTTTTAACCATTGCAATGTGCATGCTATCTACATACGCTGCAGAACAGACAAAACCATCTGTTGATCAATCATCTCCTCCAGCCACACAAAATGACCGAAGTAAACGAGGACTTTACGCACCTTACTACACTTCTCCGTACTATACTTCTCCATATTTAGCATCCCCTTATACTGCACCCTACGTTGCTGCACCTTATGCTGCTTCTTATGTTGCTTCCCCATATGTTTCTCCATATGTTGCATCACCTTATGTATCTACATATGGAGCATATCCTTATGCCTACTATCCATAATCTACATTTTTTTTTTTATTAAATCTGATGTATAGAATAAATTTCCATAAACATAAATATCATAAACATGTAAAAATATTTCTTTCATATTGTATTTTAAAATACGTCTATATATAATAAAAAAATGTGTACAAACAGATTTTGTCATTTTTAATAAGTCCTAAGATATATTAATACTTTGTTAATGCATGTATAATATAATTACAAAATTGAATTCATAAGAATTTTCAACAAAATGTTAGGTATTTTTTTATCGGCTTGGTCTAGTGGGTATAAACATATGCTTCGGCACACGAGGTACTGTGTATGATTCCTAAGCTACCAACGAGATTTTTCTTGTGATTTTCTCATTGGTGGTGTCTGGTCTCTGGTGTAAGCCGGCCATAATACCCGTCCTATCCACAATTGGCCTAATCAAGAACCATATTTGACTTCCAAACATGTGAAAGAAGACCACCTCCCTCTGTAGTATGTTAAGTTCGTGAAATAGAAGGACGTAAAACTAATAATTTTTTTATGTTTATTGGTCAAACCAATTCATTTAAGTCAAATATATAGTAAGTTAACTTGTATCTAATGGATCAGATATTTTACACTTAAGACTGCTATAAACCTAGGCACATGTGAATGTTTATTTACACATAAAACAAAAAAAATATATTTTAGTTTTTTTTTTTTTTTATAGTAATGCTAAAAATTACTTAAAAAATTCAAGATAACTTAATAGGTAGATATATTTAGAAAGTTTTTGGGTAAATTAAAAAAAAATTATGTGAACCTAAGTATAATAAAATTTTAAATTATTTTTATATTATTTTATATTTAAATCAGATTTAAGCATTTATTTTAGATTCGATGCATAGCTGAGAAAGTATTGTATTTATTTTGCTTATTTTTTATTTTTGTACTTGTATACGAATTATTGAAAAATTTTTATTTATAGTACTCCAAACATTTGCTTTGCTGATGACGTTATTTAACATAAATGACGTCTTCTTTAAATCTACATAAAATTAATGATAATACAATGTATTTTAAGACAAAATGGAATACATATCTGAAATGTTGATTTCTAGATGTTTTTGGTATTAAAGCCAAAAATTATATATTTTTCGGTAAAAATAGCCTATTTTGAAATGTTTTGCATATCAACAGATCATCCACATTATTCATAACAAAATTAAAATTTCAGGTTTTTTTATGTATTATACCATTAAAAAGATAAAAAGGAAGAGGTTCCGATTACTTATCCTCTATGAGTAAACTACCTCTACAAATGATAATCATATAACATTTAGTTGATATGCATAAATTATGCATAAATTGATCAATCAACAATAATCAAAAAAATTCTTCAACTCTACTTTACTGGATCATTATTGTACTTTACTTTTACATTTAAATCTATTTTGTATAGTGTAATAAAAATAATACTTACATTATAAGGTTGACATTAAAAATTGTATTGTCAACTTAAATACGCTAATGCAATAAATTTAGGCTAAGAATAATTTTAAATTATTTTTAAAAGTTTTTTTACTATAAAAGCGACAGATATTTGATAATTTAATAATATTTATTATATTTTTATTTGTAAGTATTATAATTCGACAAAATAAATTATTTCACTTATCATCAAAATAATAAAATGGTAAGTAAAAACTATTGATACACTTAAATTTAAAAAGAAGCATGCATGTTTAAAGGGTTTTTGAACGTTCATACTGAATTATTTATGTTTCAAGTTATTATTGATTCTCAATATAAATAGATAAAAATAATTTTTAAAAATTAGTAGAAAAGATATGCTTGTGAAAATAATAATTTTTTTATTTTAACAAATTTTGTTAAATAAATTATAATTTATAAAAAAAATAAAAATATTTCATCAATAAATAGTATAATTAGTTTATAAAAAAATTTTTTTGGATATATTAAGAATATATTTGTTAATTTAATTGCCATTTTTCAATGTAAATTATATCTATTTGGGATATACAAGTAGCTTAATTTATAAACAAATTAAATAAGTGTATCTTAAGGTTTTTCACACTAAAATGTTCGTTAAAATGTTGATGGAAGAAGAGGTAGAGGAAGACAAAAAAAAAGATGGAATTATATTATTGAATGCGATATGAGGACGGTTAATGTGTGCGTAGATGATGTGGGAGATAGTATCAAGTGCAAGTTTAGGATAAGGGTAGCCGACCTCAAGTTGTTGGGTTAAAATTGAGGCAAAGAAAAACTAAAAATACAAAGTTAATAATCTAGACAAAATATCTATAACGTTAGCACAATTAGGTCACGGTACAGTGTGGATGTGGCATAGTAGGGACAAGTATAGATGATATCAGATAGTGATTAAAATCACTATCAGAAGTTATAAGAAAGCGTTATAAGAAACGCTTCGATGAAAATTTGTAGATAGTGTCTAATTTGAAGAAATTGGTAGAAAATTCCAAAAGTAATAATAACTATCATTTTCTTAATTAAATCCTGATAGGTAGTTTTTCGATTTGTAAGTATAATGAATGAATAAATATTTATTATAGCATTTAAATATAGTAAGCAATAGATATTTAATAAAACATTAAATATTATTGTAATTTTTTTAGAAAATTTATAAAAAATTATAAAGTAGTTATTACTTTTAAGGCAAACGCGAATAAAAATTAAAGGGCTTGAAACAAAACTTTTTAGATAATAATTTATCGTTAATTATGAATAAATGGTCTGCAAGATATTTTTATCAGAGTTAAAAATATAATTTTATTATTCAATTTTTCGTGCTAATTTCAAATCAGCAATTATATTTCTATCACCACTAATTTTTGTTTAGTGATTACTAATTAGTTAAAAACTATAGAATATATTTATAAGGAAAATAGTTCTGAATATTTCAATTTTATTATTTAAACGGTAATACAGTATAGATGTGGTATAGTTGGGACAACTATAGATGATATCTGACAGTGATTAAAACCACTATTATAAGAAACGCTTCGATGCAAATCTGTAAATACTGTTTGATATTAAGAAGTTGGTGGATTAAACCAAAAGCAAAATGAATTCCTATTTCCTTTATTATTCCTTATTAGTAGTTTTAGCTTCTTTGCAAAACTGAGAAGGTATTAATTTTATTATGATGTGATTTTTATTTTTTTTGTCTGTTACCGCTTTTTCTCAGCTCTCACTGAACCGATTTCTTTAAACGATATGTCAAAAGATCACAAATGGTATCTAGTCGAAGACATTACTCTCAAAATTGGAAAATATTTCCCTCATTCCCCGTAAATGATGGAAATCTAAAAAAATTACAAATTTAAAAATCGGTAATATTCGAAATTTTTTCAATTTTTTTACTTAAAACTGCCACAACTTTTTCAAAAAAGAACGAATCAATATAATTTTTTTATTATATAAGCATAATGTCTTTACCTTTCATTTGGTATATTCTTTTTATAAATCTGACCCTTTACCTGCCCACAGGGGGGATTTAAAATGACAACTTTTTCAACTTAACTTTTAATAGTGTTCCGGAAAGTCTAACAATTATATTTATATATATATATATTAAATTAAAGCTAATGTAATATAGATTATGATGGATAAATTTAAAATAAAAAACATGTAGCGTGTTCTATAAATAACACAATTACTTCAATATATAGTTATAATACAGTATGTAAGTACATTATATATATATATATAAGGGTGTCCCTTATTTATAAAATTTAAAAATTACGAAGTGCCACCCCCTAGAATTATTCGAATACATGAAAAAATAAATTGTACAAAATTTGGAAACGATTGGTCAACTCTAAGACGTGCCCCAAGGGGGTTAAAAAAAACCCCCCAAGGGTGATTTTTTAGTTTTTTTTGTCTATCTCAAAAACTTTAGCTATTGCGAAAATGTTTATTTGGATTTTTTTGTAGGTATATAATTTTTCTATAAAAAGTATTTTTACAAAAATTTTCGAAAAGTTCTTATTTAACCCTAAAAAAATAAAAACGTATATGTTCTATTCTTACCGTTGAAATTGTTAATTTATAAATTATTGTAAAAACCTAAAAAAAATTCATTTAACCGTTGTTTTAAATTTAATTTTCTATACATTTTTTCTATTATTTACTATTATATTATTTATTATTGTTCAAATCCTACAATTTTTTTAATTTTAATTAAAAAAAAACACATCAGAGTAAAATTAATACCGTCTCAGTTTCACATTGAAGCTAAAATAATGTTAACTTACAAATTTATATACAACCAGAAACTATTTAGAAAGAAAAAACGTACTAAAAAAATTTACTACATATTTTAAATAATTTATCTTTTTTAAAATTCTTGGCATAATGTGCTTTTATTGCAATTAGGAAAACAACGCCGGTATTCTGTAACAATCTGTAATAGGTATTGTGTTTGTGCTTCGTCTTTTGTTAAAATATTATTATACTCTTCTATGAGTTTGACGCCCCTCTCTGCCAAATCATTTATAACTTTTAAAATATTTACTATTATTTTTCTTCTGATATATTGACTGTAGTCTTTCCAAAACAAAGGATTGATATTTAAAAAATCTGTTTCAATGTAATATCTTTCAAACATTTTTTTACTCAGTTGAAATAAAATCATCTATACTTTTATTTTTAAAATCATAAATTTCATTTACTCCTACTACTATACGTTTGTTTGTACATGGATCTTCTTCCTGATTATTTAATTAGTTTACCATTTTAATTTTAGTATCTTCACATAAATCATCATCAAAAAATGCTAATGCTGCCGATTCGGATACTAAGTACCATAAGTGACCCAAAATTTTTTTTTAAAACTACTTTAGAAATATCTTTATCTNATTTTTAAAAAATTATAAATCTAAATTTGGCGCTAATGCAGCATTGGTGCACTTAATCATTGTTTAATATATAAACTTGTAATAAAAATACATAATGAACGAATATTTAACTCTTTGATTGACAATTCAAATTGGCCCCGAAACAAAAAAATNAATTTAAATTGGCCCCGAAACAAAAAAAATTTTCAAACAATTAATGGCCTTGGCCATCTAACGAGCATGATGGATTGGGCCAGGAAATTTAAAATAAATTCTATGCAAATGTTAGGGCGTGATATTTTATACTTACCATGCAGACATCACATTTATGAAATTATATTGAAAAGTGTTTTTGAAGTAAAATTTAATACGTCATCTGAACCAGATGTTCCTATTTTCAATAAATTCCAAAAGTCTTGGCAAAATATAAATAAAACAAATTACTTAAGTGGAATAGAAGATACTGTTATTTTAGAAAAATTAAAAATAAAAAAAAA